CTCTGTCTCAAAAAAAAAAAAAAGGAACCTGACCTTCCCGTGTAACTCAATATACATTATCCCCCACCCCACCCACTTTTTAAAAAAATCAGCTGTATTGAGATATAATTTTATACAGTAAGATTTTACCCAGTTTAAGTGTGTGATTCAATGAGTTTTGACAAATGTATACAGTCATTCAACCACCACTATAATCATAATATAGAATATTTCTATCACCCCTGAAAGTTCCATATGTGGCCCCTTTGCAGTCAATATTCTCTAGTCCTTGGCCTGCTTTCTATTGCTGTACTTTTGCTTTTTCTAGAATATCATATAAATTAAATTGTATTATTCAGGGTTCACCAGAGAAACAGAACCAATAGGATATATATAAGAGGAGATTTATTATGGGAAGTAGTTCATGCCATCATGGAGGCCAAGAAGGCTCATGGTATGTTGTCTGTAAGCTGGAGAACCAGCAAGGCCAGTGGTACAGTTTAGTCCAAGGCCAAAGGCCTGAGAATCAGTTGGTGGGGGAAGGGGACAGGGGAGAATATAGATATCCCAGCTCAAGGAAAGAGACAGACAGACAGAATTTGCCCTTCCCCAACCTTTTTGTTCTATCCAGGCCTTCAACAGATTGAATGATGTCCACCCACACTGGTGAGGACAGATCTTCCTTAGTCTACTGATTCAAATACCAATCTCTTCCAAAAACACCCTCACAGACATACCCAGAAATAATGTTTCACCAGCTATGTGGGCATCCTTCAATCCAGTCAAGCTAACACATAAAATTAACCACCACAGAAATTATATAATATGACATGTGGTCTTTTGTGCCTGGTTTCTTTCACTTTTACCATAATGCTTTTGAGATTCATCCATGTTGTTGTATCAGCAGTTCCTTCCTTTTAATGATTTTTATTGCCAAGTGGCATTGCCTTATTTGGATGTACCACAGTTTGTTCATCCATTCATCAGTTCAAGGACATTTGGATCATTTTCAGTTTTGAGTGATTATAAATAATACTGTTATAAACATTCACATATAAGTGTTTATGTGGATACATGTTTTCATTTCTTTTGAATAATACCTAGGAATAAAACAGCTGGGTTATATAATTATGTGTTTAACATTATAAGAAACTCCCAAACTATTTTCCAAAATATCTGTATTATTAATATTTTGCATTTCCACAGGCAATGTATAAGACTTCTAGTTGTTCTATATCTATACCAACACTTGGTATTTTTGTTTTTTAAAATTTTATTTTTTATTTCAATAGATTAGGGGGTACAAGTGGTTTTTTGTTACATGGATGAATTGTATAGTGATGAAGTCAGGACTTTTAGTGTACCCATCACCCAAGTAGTGTACATTCTACGTGATAGGTAGGTTTTGACCCCTCACCTTCCTTCCACTCTCCTCCTTGTTGAGTCTCCAGTGTCCTTTATACCACTCTGTGTGATCATGTATACCTATTGTTCTGCTCCCACTTATAAGCGATTACATGCAGTGTTTGTTTTTCTATTCCTGAGATACTTCACTTAGGATTATGGCTTCTAGTTCCATTCAAGTTGCTATGAAAGACATTATTTTATTCTTCTTTTTTTTTTTTTTTTTTTGCCTGAGTCCATGGTGTATATGTGTGTGTGTGTATATATATATATATATACACATACACACACCTACATGTGTATATTATCAGTTGTTGGGCTTAGGTTTGATTCCGTAGTTTTGCAATTGTCAATTGTGCTGTGATAAACATTCTAGTGCATGTGTCTTTTTGATATAATAACTTCTTTTCCTTTGGGTAGATCTCCAGTAGTGTGACTGCTGGATCAAATGGTAGGTCTACTTTTAGTTCTTCGAGGAATTGCCATACTGTTATCCATAGATGTCATACTAATTTACTTTCCCACCAACAGTGAATAAGCATTCCCTTTCACTGCATACATGTCAACATCTATTGTTTTTTGACTTTTTAATAATGACCATTCTGACAGGGTTAGGGTGGTATGTCATTGTAGCTTTAATTTGCTAATTTTTAACAATTGCCAGCTGGGATTTTTATTGGAATTGCATTAATCTGAAAATCAATTTGGAGAGAATTGATATCTTAACAATATTAAGTTTCCCAATCCATGAATCTCTTACCATTTATTTATGTTTTCTTTAATTTCTCTCTCTTTCATATAGCAAAGATATACAAATCTTGCCCATATTCACTTAATGTGACTAAATAGTTCTTATTTTGTGCTATTATAAATGACATTGTTTTGATCATTTTGAGTTCTTATAATTTATTGCTAGTATATAAAAATACAATTGATTTTTATATTGACCTTGCCATAACTCTTCCTATCTTGTGGCATTTTCCGTATTTTCATAATACATCACCCAGTTCATTAACTCCCATTTCAAACCTTTCTCATGTCACACTGCTATGCTGTAAACTGAGGGAGAGAAGGAACCACGTCTGTCTCTTTCTCCACTGCATCCTCCAGGAAAGATCGATAAACATTACAAAGCACCTAGCATAGTGCCTGACACATTTTAGGCACTCAGAAAACATTTATGGGAGAAAGAAAGTATTGATTTGAATTAGGCTAGGCACGGTGGCTCACGCCTGTAATCCTAGCACTCTGGGAGGCCGAGGCAGGCAGATCGCTCAAGGTCAGAGTTTGAGACCAGCCTTAGCAAGAGCGAGACCCCGTCTCTACTATAAATAGAAACAAATTAATTGGCCAACTAAAAATATATAGAAAAAATTAGCCGGGCATGGTGGTGCATGCCTGTAGTCCCAGCTACTCGGGAGGCTGAGGCAGAAGGATTGCTTGAGCCCAGGAGTTTGAGGTTGCTACCAGCTAGGCTGGCCATAGAGTGAGACTCTGTCTCAAAAAACAAAAAAAAAAAAACCCACCTGAATTACTATGACTCCTTGGCAAGTTTAATATTGATGGCTTTATCTGTATAAACAGGAGGAAATGTTCTTCTCCTTGAAGCCATTCACTGTATCATGAACTCAGTCTTCCTTCCTGCTCCTGTGTCTTTGTTCTTTGAGGCCTGTCTTCTCTCTATAAATCTATAAGGACTGCCTCCTTCAGGGAGGCTTTCTTCAAACCCTTTCTCAAAATCCAAAAGCATTTATAAACTGTGCCACACTATTTAGCATTTAATCACAATGGATTTTAATCCTTCTCTTGCACCCATCACTGTGCTAGGCACATAGACCATTACACCATCAACTGCAACTGCAAAAGTCTTGCATGCCACGGCTCTTTATAAAGGCTGAGGTATAGCTTCAAGATTTGTTATGAAAGTTCTTGGGTCTAAGGAACCAGCAAACTGGAAAAAACTGGAAGATGACCCTGAAAGCTGTTGATTATCAGAATGATTTTTCAGGTGAGATTGTATTTAAATGTATCACATTCAAATTGTTTTGAACACATTTGTTAGATAAATGCACAAATAGATATCGCCCTATCCGGAGGCAGAGGTCCACGGATTTTCTTACAGTGTTTTCTATTTCCGTGGTCCCTCCATGGTCTTCACCAACTTGGACCCTTGGAACTTCAGAGATGGAAAGAAACCTGATATGTCCCTGTATTTAGTTTGAAAATAACATCAAATGGCTGTCACCTCTTTCTGCATCCATTTTTAATGAGAAATTGCTAATTCTAGGACTAGGGCAGGGAATATACAAGATAAGCCTGGAGTATCTTGTCATGCCAGAAAGTTCTCCAAAACAAAACAATGGGGATATAACAAAGGGACACAGAGCCAACTGAAAAAGCTCCCAATGGCCAAAGCTGGAACAATTTGAGCAACAACATAATACAGTGTTGGATTGTGGCCCAAAGGATAAATATCCATTTCATACTTACATAAGTGATTGAATAAATGAGAAGAGACAAATCTGTACAGAGGAATTGGAAATAATTTATGTAGATACCCCACCCTCAAGGAGATAAAGCATAACTTCAGAGCATAATTCCCCATCCGTTAAGAATGTAATACATTTAGTGACTTGCTTCTAAAGAGAAAAATATGAAAAGAGAGAGCAAAGTAACTTTATAGTGGAGAAACCTGGCAAAGACTCCTTTAGCCAGGTGATCAAGATTGATGTCATCAGTGATAAGTTGATAAGAATGACACCTCACTTCTGTGGTCTTCCTCCCAAAAACCATAACCACAGTCTAACCATTAGAAAAAGAGACAAATTCCAATTGAGGTACATGGTACAAAAATACCTTACCAGTCATCCTCAGAACTATCAAAATGATCAAAAACAAACTATGTCTAAAAAACTGTCATAGCCTGCAGGAGTCTAAGGAAACTGACAACTAAATGTAATATGGTATCCTGGTTAGGACACTGGAACAAAAAAAGGACATTAAGCAAAAACTAGTAAAATCCGATAATGTATGGAGTTCAGTTAATAATATATCAATATAATTTCGTTAGTTGTGATAAATGTACCACAGTAAGATAGTAACAGGTTGGGCATGGTGGTTCACGCCTATAAACCTAGCACTCTGGGAAGCCGAGGCAGGAGGATTGTTTGAGCTCAGGAGTTCAAGACCAGCCTGAGCAAGAGTGAGATGCTGTCTCTACTAAAAAAATAGAAAGAAATTAGCTGGACAACTAAAAAAAAAAAAAATATATATATATTATATTATATATATAATATCCTGGCATGGTGGCACATGTCTGTAGCCCCACCTACTCAGGAGGCTGAGGCAGGAAGATCACCTGAGCCAAGGAGTTTGAGGCTGCTGTGAACTAGGCTGATACCTCAGCCTTAGCCAGCAACAGAGCGAGACTCTGTCTCAAAAAAAATAAAAAAGATAGTAACAGAATTGGGCAGGGATATATGGAAACTGTGTACTATTCTTGTACCTTTCTGTAAATCTAAAACTATCCTAAAATAAGTTTTTTAAATGTTTTTAAAATATAAAGTTTGGGCAACAGATTGGCTACATGCTTATTTCCACAACTGTTTTAATTATAGGGTGCTGGTGACAGCTTCGTGGAGCTTGGCCTTCTACCTGGCTTACTACCCAAATTTGCCCTTGGAAGAAATGCTCAAGAGATCCAATTTCATCGCAGCAGTGAGTGTCCAGGCTGCAGGAACACAGTCATCTTATCCATACAAAAAAGACCTTCCACTTACTCTGTTTTGATTGCTATTAACCCCAAAATAAATATACCTGGTACTTGGGAGTGGCCACTCCTCACACTTACCAGAAAATGTCCTCTTCTCCTTTCTTTGCACATTTTATGTTCATTTGTTGAAAGTCATCCTCACGCTTTCATTGATTTATGATGATGCTTCCTTTGCTTTTCATGCATTTGCAAGAGCCAATTAAAGAGTCCACAAGATTTGTACAAACACTACCACCATCAGGGACCATCAAGCTCAATTGCCAATAAATTGATAGTGCACTATGTGCACCATACAGAACTGTAGACTACAGTGTCTAGAGCAGAGCAGAGAATTAATAAGGGAAGGGACATATGAATTGGACATTTCAAGCACTTTGAGAGGCAGCTGATAATTCAGCTTTAGTTTAATGTTGTCGAACTTTTAGTTTTACAAGTGAAGCCAAAAGTTGGGTTGAATTTTCAAATTATTTATCTGCAACTGTTTTTTAAAGGAAAAGAGTTACACCACTTGTGGATCACATTCAGCCCATGGGCTGAATGACAAGTCATTTATTTGTTAAACCAGATAAAAAAAAAAAAAAGAGCCAGGCATGGGGGCTCATGCCTGTATCCTAGCACTCCGGGAGCAAGGGGCGGATTGCTCGAGGTCAGGAGATCGAAACCAGCCTGAGCAAGACGAGACCCGTCTCTACTATAAATAGAAAGAAATAACTTGGAACTAATATATATAGAAAAAATTAGCCGGGCATGGTGGCGCATGCCTGTAGTCCCAGCTACTCGGGAGGCTGAGGCAGAAGGATCGCTTGAGCCCAGAAGTTTGAGGTTGCTGTGAGCTAGACTGAGCCATGGCACTCACTCTAGCCTGGGCAACAAAGTGAGACTCTGTCTCAAAAAAAAAAACAAACCCATGTATGTCACAGACCCTTTACACTGGCTTAGCTAAGACCAAATGAAGTCTTTTTCTTGTAACTCAAGACCACTGGTTACCATTCAGCCTAAAAATAGCCAAGATCTCACCTATTACTGCTTTGGACCAGAGCTTTAACAAGATGCCATAAAATGGCTGATTGACTATAATGCCACAAGCCCCTAAGACTGAACAACCATCTATATCTAATTCTGTTGCCAGCAAGCTGCCTCTTATATTTCCTCCAGAGACACAGATTCGGCCATGGGGAAGGAACACCTATTATTTAATATTTTGGGACAGCACTGGTTTCTTAATACTTGTGGCCAGAGTGGGCATTCTTATTCTCCTACACAGATGCTTTAAATGGGGTAGGAAGTGAACTGGAAGAGCTGGTTAAAATGTGAGTGATCCTTATTTTCAACCAGAAATTTGACAAATAAAGGAGAAAACTGGACAATTTTAAAAACTTGTAGGAAACAAAAGCCTGAGTGAGCAAGTGTATAAATCTGGGTAGGGAAGAGGTCCTTGTCTTAACACTAGAGATTATCCATGGAATTTCCAAGCCAGTTAATTATGTAGTACCACTGTGCTGCCTCTCTGGCAATGCCTTTATGGAAATACAATATAGCTCCTCTTATTTTAAAAAAAAAGAAAAATCTAGGGCGCTTAGGCACAGATGGCAGCACTGGCCACAGCCTTTCCATGGCTAGGCCTCCACTCTGCCCACAGAAGGGGGCATGTCAGCCTAGAACCAACCTCAATCTGAGGACTGGGAAGTGGATGGGGCCCTGGAGTCTGCTTTGGTTGCTCTAGAAAATCCTAAATACTGCTTTGGTGACCTGAGTTTGAGAATATGAACCAATAGCATTTTCCCTAATTATGTAAGCACAAATCAGAAATAGAAGTTCTATTGGTTTCTTTTGTTATGAGGCTTACCTCTCTATCGTTCCTATTGACATTTGCCATCTCTGTTATTACACAGGAGTTTCTTCAAGATCACTCTGAAGTGTTATTCTGCCTTTTTCTATGAAGTACAAAGAGGAGTAGGCTGGAAACTCTTGCATAAGTGTCGTTATGGAAAATTTTCTTTTAGTACATGAAACAATGATTATTTTTTTAGTAATGTTGATTTTTAAGAATTCAAGTAGTGGGTAAAAACATCATTAAAAGACAATAGCATAGGCTATTTTAAATTTTTTATTAAGGGCTATAAAAATATCCAGAAAGATAAATAAATGTGATGCAATGATATCTGTCCTAATATGAAGAACTTTCTTTCACTACATTGTTTTCCTTCACAATGGCCTTCAAATCGCAGGAGGCAGTGATTCCGTGCCATTTCCTCTTCTTTTCTTACACACCGCAAGATTTTTGAATCAGCAGTATCCCCGCCCTAAGTCTTCTCATTTATAAATCAAATTCATTTTCAATCCATTGTTTAAAGGGAGCGTATTTTTTTCTGTTCCACGAAGAGGACTCTTTGTTTCACTATAGGGGGAGAAAAAAGAATTGCAGCAGAAAATTTTAACATATCATCACCATTTTTATTAAAAAATACGTATCAGACCATGAGCCCTTTCCTTTCTCTTAGTTTATTTATACTATTCCATTGACATGAGAAAGTAGCTTATTTGCAAACTCAGTTTCTCCATTCCAGAGGCCAGAGAAGACTAGAGAAAATGGGAAGGGCCACCAGCCAATCAGTGGCATCCTTGGCACCCCACAAGGTCAAATTTCAACCAAAGTGAAATATTCACATTAAAAAACAAAATTGAGGATAAAAATGGAAAACACTCAAAGTCTTCACCCAGTTAATGTGCACTCATAGGAGGTAAGCAAGGGCAGACTAGCTAGGAGCTGAGTTCCAGAAAAAGAGCAGCAAGAACTGAGCAGACCACAATAAGAAAAGGCAGCTTGGCTGAAAGAGTAAATAAATACACATTAAACCTCTACTTTCCAGAGATGGTTTAATACACTTATATATAGATTTTTTTAGTTTGATTATAGAATATCACAACCAAAATCTCATTGTTGTGAATATTACAGAGTACAGTTCTCTGAAACAAAAACCAAAACAAAAGTACTATCTGCCTGGATGAAAGACTGGAGACTAGATGCTGGGTAATAAGGCTTTCATAGGTCCCATAAAACCCTATAGCAGTCCATTAACTTCCAACCTCTCATACACACACCCCCACCCCACCTAATTCCTCTCTGTTAAAACACACACACACACACACACACACACACACACACACACACACACACACACACACACACACACACACACGTACCCAGGGAAGATCCAGGAACTCAAAGTACTAAGACATAACTCCTCACTGGTCCCTACCATACAAAGACATACAAAGAGATTTTAACTTTGTTTTCTCTTCTTCTACAGTCAATATAGAGATTCAGATTCCCAAGCTCTCTATGATTAAGAATTAGCTTATTTAAAAGCTATTATAGACAAGCTAATTCTCACTTCTACCCCTACCCTAATCCTGGTTTAACAGAGCTAGAGCTGGGCTAGAAGCATAAATTTTTTTAAACTCCTCAAACAATTCTGATGGGCAGCTGGATTTAAGAACCATTAACCACTCAGCAGAACTTTACCTATAATATTAGTAAAAATAAAATATATACATCATACATAAGGGATATTTTTAACGTACTTCAAATCATCTAAAAATTAAGGAGCATTGATCCTCCTAAGATTCTAAGGCAGACAATACATTACAAGGTGGGAACCAAAATAGCTTCCCATCAAACAATGTTATTAATTGCAAGAAATATTTCCCCCATGGTTTTCTACATAGATTGAAAAACTAGGTATTAACAATAAGGAGGTCAGTCGCGGTGGCTCACACCTGTAATCCTAGCACTCTGGGAGGCCGAGGCAGGCAGATAGCTCAAGGTCAGGAGTTCAAAACCAGCCTGAGCAAGAGTGAGACCCCGTCTCTACTAAAAAATAGAAAATTAACTGACCAACTAAAAATATATATACAAACAATTAGCCAGGCATGGTGGCACATGCCTATAGTACCAGCTACTTGGGAGGCTGCGGCAGGAGGATCACTTGAGCCCAGGAGTTAGAGGTTGCTGTGAGCTAGGCTGATGCCACGGCACTCACTCTAGCCTGGGCAACAAAGTGAAACTCTGTCTCAAAAATAAAAAATTAAAAAAAAACAAACAAAAAAGAAAATCTGTCTCACTGATTAGCAATCAGGAGTCTATTTAAATGACCCCAACCAGGAGTAACTGATTAAGATTTGTAGAGCAAGGCCTTATTCAGGAAAATTCTTTGATTCACTGCATTCATTCATTTAATTCAAAAAATATTTAAGTCCACAGAACTGTGCTAGGCAATGTGAAGTTGACAAAAGTGTAAGGAGAGTTCTTAATTTAACACGTCAGTACATCATGAGGTGTCCATAGGAATGTCCAGTAAAACCCCATAGGAACCCAAAAATCAAAGGGGACAGGAATGGTGATAGATCTCACAGAGAGGGTACAAAGTTTGGCCCCTGACAAAGGAGCAGCGTTTGGTGAACTAAACAGGAATGGGCATCTGGTATAGAGGAATGGTGGAAGTAGGAATGACAGAGGGTATCCATGGCCTTAAATGCTAGGCTGACCACAGGGACAGGTCCTGATTTTTAAAAAGTTTTAGGAAGATTAAGTTGGCTCCATGTAATAGAAAGAACAGGGACTTGGAGTGAGAAAGGTTGGGTTCAATCCTTAACTCCACCATCTATCAGCTGTGTCCTGGGCAAATTTCTCAAAATACCCCACCCTCAGTTTCCTTTCCTCTGAGAGAGAGAACTCCATCTCCTTCCCAGGGTTGTTGCCAGACACACAGTGAGTACTCAGAACATGTTAGCTGAGCTGAAATGACACACTGCTACCCACAATCATAAACATAAATTAATTTTATGTCAAAATATTTGCTGTTTAATTCATAGAAGAATGAATCTGTCAAGTTCTTTCCCTACATCTAACCAAAATCTATTCTGCTCCAATTAAAGTATATATTGTCTTATTTAGTCATCCAAGGAATTAAAACTGACAAGTTTTCATTCTCTTTATGATAGACCTTTATATATTTAACAAAGTTTAATAAGCTTATGCCTTAGCCTTTAATCCTTCCTCTCTGGAAATTAACATCAAGTTTTATATGAAAAAAAGGAGTTTGAAAACACACAAGCATAAGCGACTGGTTCTTGCCATAGACTGTACTATGAAATGCTCAAAAAAGAGGGAATTTTTCCATGTTTCCTTACCTGATTTCCTTCATAAAGCAGACCAACAAAACATTGTCCTCAAACTAACAATTTACTCACTGCAATAAAATATGGTAGGAGAACCACCAAGCTATTTGGTACTCTGGGCAATGGGGGGGGTAGGCCTCAAGGCAAACATCTTCATCATGAAAGCCTGCAAGCCATTCAGTAGGTGGGCAGAAAGCCACGCAGTCTGCTATCCCAGAACATTCTCTTCTTCAGAAATGACAAAGTTGTGCTGTGAAAGCTCAGACCATTCCTTATCAGAAAAGCTTGAATCATCTGTCTGAAATTTATATATGAACCTTTCCTCCCACTCTGAATTTATGATCAGAACTGTTTATGCCATGTATCCTTTCCTAATCTCAAAACTTAAAATCAAACTGACATATTAAGTTTCTAATACCTCCATACCAAGAATGAAAATTCCAATACATTTTCATACTTAAAATATCCTAGGTTATTCAATCAACATTTAATAGTGTTGTACAATTTCTAAAAATAAACTATAAAAGAGTTTAAAAAACAATTATTATAAAGTTCATCCGAGTTTTCACCAGCTGATACAAAAAAATCACAAGGGAAAAAAACACACCAATCCAATCCCTTATCATTCCAATATCAAACATAATAATTTTTCCACCATATGAGGAGTCATCCTGAAATTCAGCCTTTAATCACCAGGCACAAACTCAGAATTACCTTTTCATTATGATAATGAATAACCAGAAATTTGAACACCATAAAAACAACAGAAAATTTGATTTCTGTTAAAGAATTGAACTCAAGAAATTTTAAGCTGACAACTGTGCTTCTCAGAGCCTTTTAAAAATTCCTTCTCATGTTACTACAGCCCCTTATGTTTTTTTACTTTTTTTTTTTTTTTTAAGAGATAGGGTCTCACTCTGTCATCCAGGCTAGAGTGTAATGGCATCACCATAGCTCACTGCAGCCTCAAACTCCTGAGCTCAAGCAATCCTCCTGCCTTAACTCCTGAGTAGCTGGGATTATAGGTGTGAACCACTTTGCCTGGCAGTCCTGATCTTATTAAGAAGCAATTACTATAAATTAATATACAAACAGCACAAAAATGAAATGAACAGCCAGAGCTCTAAAATAAAAAATTTGTTTGCTAGCTTCTTTTTGCATAACTTTGCACATAAAATCCAGAAACATCTAGATTCAGGACTAGGTAAAAAAAAAAAAAATCCAATAATAGGATAGGCTTCTACCAACAGCAATCAGGTGCTGACTCTATTTTTTTATGTGTGAGCAGACAAGAGAACACTTGTCTCTTTTAGACAAATACTTCTATCTACTGAAACCATTTAAAGTTAGCATTTATTATAGCATTTTGGTGAATGGCACAAAATGGCAAATCAAATTTCCTACCCTCTTGCACTAATAGATAGACACCATACTCCTTTCACTCACTGACTTGCTACTGTCAGACAGATGATCCCAGGAAACCATACTTTCCCCGTCTCAGACACTTCTCTGTTTCCAGAACCCTACAATCTATTGACTGGTTTCTCACCTTCAGGTCTTTGATTAGCTATCCTCTCCTAGAGAGACCTTCCCTAATTTATCGTATCAGAAGTAACTCTCCCATCCACCCTTCCCCAACTTCATCCTACATATCAGCATCCTGTTTCTCTCATAGCACTTATCATAATTTGTTATTTTTTCCCTCTCTCAAACCAAACTGTAAGTGCCAAGAGCATAGGAACTTAACCTGTGTCCTAGTGTATGCCATAAGAGGATAGTAAACAGCATCATAATAAACATTCGATACATATTTGCTGAATGCTACAGTGTCAAAGAGGCTACAAAACTGCCAGAGATGTTCAGTCTGGAAAGGGGGCAAGAGGCGTTGAAAGCATCTTAATCTATAAAGGAATAAATCCTCTGAATCTTACCAATTGGATCATAATGCAAAAGAGTCAATTTCTCCCGTAAGCGGCTTCTCTTGGTGTTGAAGGCAAAACCTGTCCCAGCTTGGCTTATCATTCTCACCAGAATGTTTCTAAGATTAAAAAGAGAGCTGTTAGCCTGAGCAATACAGCAAGACCCTGTCTCTACAAAAAATTAAAAAACAAAAAAATTTGCCGGGCATGGTGGCACATGCCTGTAGTCCCAGCTACTCAGGAGGCTGAGATAAGAGAATAGCTTGAGCCCAGGAAGTTGAGATTTCAGTGAGCTACTTTAGCACCATGGCACTCCAGCCTGGGTGACAGAATGAGACCCCATCAAGGAAAGGAAAAAGGAAAGGAAGAAGGAAAAGAAGAGAAAGGAAAAGGGAAAGGGAAAGGGAAAGGGAAAGGGAAAGGGAAAGGGAAAGGGAAAGGGAAAGGGAAAAGGGAAAGGGAAGGGAAAAGGGAAAGGGAAAGGGAAAGGGGAAGGGAAAGGAAAGGAAAGGAAAGGAAAGGAAAGGAAAGGAAAGGAAAGGAAAGGAAAAAAGGAAAGGAAAGGAAAGGAAAGGAAAGGAAAGGAAAGGAAAGGAAAGGAAAGGAAAGGAAAGGAAAGGAAAGGAAAGGAAAGGAAAGGAAAGCAAAGCTGTTACAAGCTGAAGAAATAGACTAAAATCATTCATGGGGGATGGCACACTTTGAGAACTTTCTAGAGTAGTTAGTATGAGTTGTGGGACATTACTTGGCCCTAAGAAGGTTCAGTTCTAAGACAACCCACATTTTCCATAAAACATGATTTTAATGCTTTTGAATCTCAAAAAGTTTGTTCTAGTACACTGAGTTGCTTGGTCATGACATAACCCAAACAATCAAGCTACATTGTGGGACTAACCTCAGACACCTACCTCTCATGAATAGCAAAAGTTAGAAGGAAGAAAATACAAAAGTACTGGTAACCATACCTGGCTAGTCAGGAAATTGTAAAGAAGGCTCTCTCAGAAGAGCCCCCTCTTCCAGGGCATGGAGTAATAAGGGTATAATCAGGAAGGGAAAATATAAAGGGGCTGAAACTTTCAGATTGCGAATGTGCAAAACCTTGTGCCCCTTCACATTTCATTTAAGTTACAGTCATGCAAAGTATAAAATCCACGTTTGCCTCATTGGACCTTTGAATACCTTTACTGTTTGTTACTTTTCAATGTGTCCTGTCTCCCCAACAGAGACCATGTTATTTATTCCTCATGTAAATACAAAACAAATTTGAAGCAACTATATTACACATCATTGCATTGATTTCAATGTTCAACAGTGCCTAATAAGAGGCATAAAATATTTGTCAATTAAAATAGGCAATAATTATTCATTCAACAAAGATTCGACAAGTATCTATTAAGTGCTTACTCTGTGGAAAGCACCACGGGAAATACAAAAACTAAAAGGCTGTCTGTGTCCTCTAGGAGCTAACAGCAAACAGTAGTTAAGAAGGTGAGTTGGTATGTGAGGTCTGTAAAGCAACAAATGTATGACAAATGTCACAAAGTACATCAGAGGCTGAGAGGCAGGAAATACCTGTACAAACCAAAGGCATGGGATTCCTAGAGAACCTGGGGGTGGGAAATTCTGACATAAATAACTGGATTGTGGGAAAAGCTACATGAATTGCTAAAAGATACTAGGGGAGAAAGCACTAACATATGTGTTTTTCATTAACTTTAATCCAAAAAACTCTAGTTTTAAAGGGCTTTTTGATGTCTCTCGGTTCTAAGCAAAGGCTGCTTTAAAATTTTCCTATTTTTAACACTGAAAATCTTCAATTATTGTCTACAAAATTTATTTTGAAATACCAACTTGGTATTTCTAGTCTCTCTGATATAGCAGGGGATCCTTAATCTTTGCTAGTTTTGACATGCTTATACCATTAATGCAAAGGATTACAAAACTCATTAAAACAGCCTATATGATTTAATCACATCACAGCTTGTTCTGCTAGATTTCTGTATTGAGCTCCAGACAAATGGCCCCTGGTCCTCGATTTGAGGAAAGAGAAATATGGTGGTAGTCCAAATAGAACACAGCCCAATGGTTGGTTTAGGTACAAGACAATAAGCTCAAAAGTCCTTGGACAAGAAAAGACAGCAAGGGCTCCTTTATGCAAAGTATTTGGATGCTCACTGAAGTAGCTCAGTTGGGTAGAAGGGAAAATATTTCTTGAAAGAGTTTGTAGAGACAAAATAATCAACTAAGTCATCTTCAAACCAGCTTTTAGGAAATCGAAGCCAAACAGTTTAATAAAAGGATGTATGTATTGGGAACGTCTAACAAATCTAACATAAACAAGTTTTAAAAAAGAAAAATACTTACTTTGACTTGCTCTTGGCAACTTTTTTTGTAGACAAGAAATGATGGAAGAGAAAATAAAAACATAAATTTATTATCTTTCTTATGCAAAGTTCATATAAATGTCAATTAATATCCAAAAATATTTAACTCATGAAGTACGCCACAAGTTCTCAAGTAACTATTTTCTCGATATTGGGGAGTCTGTTAGGATTTTATGTAAGATAAAAAAATCTAATCAGACCAACACAATTCTGGATGTAATAACTTGCCCAATCTCATTTTCACCTGGACTGGCTACCTTTTAAACCATTCTATACATTCGTAAATATATGCTCCGTGTTTTCCTCTTCTAAGGTGCAAATATTTGCACTAGAACAAACCTCTTGTTTGACAAGTTAATCTTTCCAAACTGCAACAACGATCGCTTCAGGTGGATAAAGGAAACTAAGTCTAACCGGGGAGTCAGCCAGGTGCTAGGAAGAGCACTAACTCGGGAGCCAGAGGGCTTCTTTCACTGTCCAACTGTATTATCTGGCAATGCACTGCCCCTCTCAGGAGCGGTTTCCTCATCGTTAGAGCTAGAAATGGGTGGGCTAGAAATTCTGAGCTCCTTCCCAGTTCGGACGTCCAATGATTCTGCTTACACACCCTAAGAAGGACTGGAAGAAAGCGCCCCACGACTCCTGACCAGACCGTGGGATCCGCAACAGAACCCAAACACCACAGACCCGCAGAAGCCCAAACACCTGCGCAGTGAGGAGCGCCGCGGGGCATGCTGGACGCTGTAGTCCCAAAGGCCTGGGAAGTCCGCAGCAACAGCTTCCCGGCCGGTTCGCAAACCCTACCCTGTCATCATCTCAGGGCTCCCTGTCACGGCTCCCCGCCCTGGCCGTGGCGCCTGCCACCGCCTCTAGCCCCACTTACAGAAGACTGCAGAGAGGAACATGGTGACCGCCTCTGAGCAACCTCTGTAACCAGCCGCAAAGTGCCCCAACAAACAACTGCTTCCGGGGCACGGGCCGGTTCCGGAGGAGGACATCCGGGTGTTGCCCGAAGCCACGCCCTCCGCCTGGAACCGGCAAATCGTCTAGCTCTCCTCTGTTCTTTACACTGAGTGTGTTTGGCTTATTTCGTGGTGGAGGTAGAATTTTCCTTTCTTCGGGGAAGGGACTGGTGGCGTTCGGTTCGTGCCCCAGGCCCTGTCTCCTGTTTCTGGGTCTGCGTGAGGTTCCTTCCCTACTCGTTTCACTAAGTAATTGTAACCACCCACATTATAGTATCAGGAACTTTATGTTGTACCATGGCCGCTCCAGCCTTTCAGGCTCCCCACATAGTGCCTAAAAATGTTGCCTCCGCGGACCCAAATCCATCTCGCTAGGTTAAGGCTCACTCTCAGTCTTTTTGTAGTTAGGAACCCCACCTGAGTTTCCCCCATTCCTTAATTATCTGTTGGGTCTCTAGGAGGGCAGGACCCTGTTCATCTCATTAACTTCTGTATCCAAACACCTAGCACAGTGCCTGATAACAGGAGCGGAATAACTGAAATTTAGGGCACTCACGTAACTTACCTAATATCACAAAACTAGGAAGTGACAGAGTCAGAATTTAAACACAAAATTTTGCCTGACTCCAAAGACTCGTGCCTTTCCCTCTAGACACTGAGACCTACCACTTGCCATCGTTAATTCTTCATGTCTCTGAGAGGAAACTGGGCTCCTCCAATACCAGGGACCTCACTGGTATCCTCATTTCCCAGCTAATGACAAGACTTTTGAATTTTTTTCTAATCTGTGATTTTCATCTATATATTAACTCTTACAGACATGAGAAATAAAATGCAATCTCATGGATTATCCTCACCGAAAGTAATAAAATTTTTTAAAAGAAAATTCAGCTGTTCAGTACAATTCAATTTTTAAGATTAGGACTGTCCTTGCCCTTCGTACCTATAATAGTTTTTCCCTGTCTAATATTAATAATTCTTAATAGTCACCTTCCCATAACCTGACTCCAACAACTGAGCATCTTTCCAGCACCCAAACCCTTCCTTAAACAGTTCAGCTACTGGCAAAACAAACAAAAAAACCCTTAAACTTCAGGTGTTCAAAACTTGGGATCAACTATTTCACCAAGGTGCTCTGGTGCCTTTTTATGGGGGTGATATGTAGAAGCCACAATCTGATGCAGGGCCACTGGATTAGATTAGTAGGTTTTAAGCTTTATTTTACTTTTTTAAATTAAAATAAAAATTAATTTATAACTTTAAATTTTCTTTTTCTTTTTTCAATTAGCCCAACTTTTAGAAGCAAATCTTTAAGCTCTATTTTAAACCATGGAATTTTCATTCAAATGTAATCTGTCTCAGAAGTTTGCAGTGTAAAACAAAGTCATACTTCTTGAGAGACATCCTCAGAACCCTACACTCTTGGGGATCATAGAAGCCCCTAACTATAGAATGGTGACATTCTCTTCCAGTCCCATGGCTCTGGATTCTAGTTCAAGGTCTCAAACCCTACCCACAGGGCCTTGGAGCCTCAGCTGTACTTCCCACTATAGGCAGCTTCCTACCCACACTGCCTGACCATGCAGAGGACCAGCCTAAGCTGGAGAGAGCCCTGTAGTCACTACTTTAGCAGCAGCAGAAACAGCCTAGAGCAGAAGACCACTCAGGACCTGGGCTGCTTCAGAGACAGGAAACAGGACTTCAGAAATAATTCAGGACTAAGGTTATAGAGAGTCTCTCTGTCTCTGTCTCCCTCTCTCTCTCTCTGAGTCTGTCCTCAAGATTTTGCCTCCTCCTCTCCACAGAAACCACTCTTATGAGGACCCCCAGTGACCTCTACCCTGCCAAATCCGGTGGTCAATTCTCAGGCCTCAGTTTACTTGGCATCTGTGAGCATAATTTTACAGAGTTGCTCACTCTCCCCTTTGAAACACTCTCTTCACTTGGTGTCCAGGCATCCACTCTCTTGGTTCTCCCCCTACCTCATCAACAGTTCTTTCTCCAGCTTCCCTCACCCACCCCTCAGTGGAGGCACAGCCAGGACTCAGCTTTGGACCTCCTTTCTTCTCTGTCCACATTCATTCCCTTGATCACACCTGGGCTCCTGGTTTTAAAAAGTCTACCAGGTGACACTTCCACATTTATTTATTATCCCCAGTCTCAACCTCTCCTTTGTACTCCAGGTTCATGTATTTAACTGCACTCAACATTGCATGTCCACAATTTCCCAAACTTGCTGTGCACCCTCCACCTCCAGGCTTCTTCCATCTTAGTATGTGGCAATTCCATTTTTCTAGTTGCTCAAGTCAACTTCCAAGCCAACTTGCTGCCTCTTTCATACCCATAAATAAATCCTGTCATTCAAATGTCACCTCATCAGTGTAAAATAACACTTCTTGAACTTGAACTCCACACACGCCTTCAACCCCCTGCTTGACTTACTCTGCTTTACATTTTCATATAGTACTTTTTGCCATTTAATATGACTTGTGTATTTGTTGATTTCCCTACTGTCTTTGTCTACCAGAATGTAACCTCTTAAGATCAGGAACTTTGTCTTATTCACTCACTGCTGTATCCCTGGTTCCTAGAACAATGCCTGCCACATCTATGAACTATCTGTTGAATGACTGGGTGAATGAATCAATCTGAGGTGGGAGGCACCATTGTTAATATTTACATTTAAATAGCAAAAAGATAAGTATCCATGTATTTTCCATAGTTTCAGGATCAAGGAGAATGTACAAAATTGTTTTTAAAAAGAGATAGCTTATGAACTATTTTCAAAATCTTGAATGGAGTAGAATGAAAGCAATGACTTTCTAGTCTTCTTTAGTTCATGCTGTATCCACCTGTTACTTATACCTAACATATTATTGGGAGTTGGTGTTAATTAAAATGCTTATTAATACAGATATAATTCATGATTTGGAGGGATTTTTTTTTCACCTGAATGTACATAATGAGCCCTCTGTGCCTTATTAAAGTGCAGGGCAATTAGAGCATCCTGCCAGCCCAAATGCAAAAGGTATAGTCCTCAGAGAAGGGGCACCCTCTTTGGGAGGTGGGGGTGCTGAAGGGAGGAGATCCAGCTTTTTAACCCAACCTTCCCTCCACAGATCCCTCTGAAAGCACCTATTAGGCTTCCCAGCACTCCTCAGGTCACTGGTCTGCCTCCCTTTCTAGGATCTAAGTCCCTTGAGGGTCAGGGCTTTGGAACCTCTGTATATCACTCCCTCCTCCCCAAAACAGGAACGTCTAACACAAGGTTGGTGTCCCATCCACATTTTTAACAAATCTGGACTGAGTACTTCTGTACTCAGGGACTCTGCCTTGAGTCTTTCTCTGTCTCTTAAATCCTACCTCCCCTCCTAGGTCCACCGGAGACAGGCAGAGTGGAAGGAACTGTGGGAAGGGTAGATGCAAATGTGCAGAGGTATTTAAGAAATGGACAGGGAGCATCCTTCTGGGGCTAGGATGTGGGACCAAGTGAGCACAAGCGAGTAGGTGAGCTGGAAAGGATGACTGTGGCTCGGCAATAAGAACCAGGATGTTATAGTTGGGAGTTAGGCTTAGTTCTGTGGGCAGTGGGAAGTCTCAAGAGTTAAGTGATACGATCAGATTTCTGTAGCTGCAGCATCTTGAAATCATGCCATTTTTACAGCTAATTGGGGGGAAAGGTCATGACTCTCCCATCCCACCCAAAGACACTCAAAGTTCCCCTTGGGAACAATAGATACTTTCCCTGGTCTGCATGCTAATGCCTATTTAGTTAACACATTTATTTGGTATTTCCTTAACAATTGGCAAGTTCTTTGTGCTTATTATCTTAAACTAATCACTGAGCCTTTTTTGAGGGGGACAGAGGGAAGAAGAAAGGTGTCGTAGACCCCTCTGCGAATCTCCTAAAAGCGATGGCTTAGTGTTTCTAGAAAGATGCACATATATGCCCATCCACAAGCAATTTTCCTGCCTTTCCAGTGGTCCCCAACCTCGGCTGCACAATGGGATCACCTGGGAAGCTGTATAAACAATTC